TATATATATATAAACAATCATTCAGCACAGTACAGTACAGAAAAATTCTTTCATTACTACATAAATTCTCTGCCATTCAAGAAGTATCATTTCAGGTAACATTTTCGCACCCGTCTCAGAGACAATGCTTATTATATCTCTTTTCTCACCCACATCATTTGCACCGTATGAACCTGAGAACTCGTCAGATTCTCTCTATCTTTGTCAATTCAGGAAGGAACCACTCATAAATGGAATCTAAGCAGGGAAAGCGTGGAGCAGCCATAAAAAGTGCCTGAACATTATCAGGCCTAAATATAGGAGGACAGTATATGCATGAGAATGGTGCCAGCTTTAGCTGTAGTCCACCCACCCAGCAGTGTGCAATACAACACTTCACCACTACTGAGTTTTAGGAGACACATTTGCTGTCGCTTATACACTTGGGCATATATAAATGCCATTTATTGTGATTTGAATTTATAATAATTGTAAAGGAAACCGGAGATCCGGAGAAACCGGAGATGTATGTATGTGTGTGTACAGGCTTATCCTCCATTCTGGGGACCAAATTTCTCGACAAGGATAGTAAAACCTGACATTTTTCAGTTCCCACGAGGGAAAAAAAGTATTAAAAATACTTGATGTTTATCTAAAAATGTAAACATGCAAAAAAGGGTTCTGTCAGGGGGTTTAGGGGTCGATTTAGGTTTAGTGTATAGAAAATATTGTTAGATCAGTATAAAAAACAATAGAAGTCATAATAGAAGTCTATGGCAAGTCCCCACAAAAATCTAAAACATGCAGTCACATTTCACTACTTAGCCTTACTTCTGTTATGAAAAGTAAGACATAAGCGCCACCATGTGGTGATTAGTCATCTTCACCCCATAAACCATGTTTTTAGTCTTTCTAAAAGGAACACTTCGACATTGATAATTATTTTTACAAATGAATTATTCTGAAACATGTTACAGTCAGTCAAATTCACACTCCAACATTTAAATGAGCTTGGCCTTCTTAATCAGATTAATTCAAAATAACTTTTTTTTTTAATTTGTAAAAAGTAACTCAGACATCATTAGGTTTAAGTGCATTCATGTGAGACATTGGGATCGTGTCTGCGTTTGTCGCTTGCCATGAGACAGAGACATTATGTGAAATTTCAGGTATGTTTTATTGAAACTATTCATTGTATTAGAAATACAAAGACACTTTCAGTTAGAATTACTTAGGTCCTAAAGTTCAGCTGAGCTCATCATAAGCATTGCACAAACAAAATTACCAGGGACATTAACCACAAAGTTGATTTTACCAAGACAGACACATTGATCTAATGATTTGTACAGCCAAAATTAAGAGCGCTGAACAATGTAAAGATTTAGTTTAGAAGATTTAGTCTATAAAATAAAACATGACTGACACTAAACTGGAAAGACAAACAAAATTGTGGCTCAGATTTTATACAATGTATCTACTCTATATCAACTTCTTATTCAATTTCTAAATGTAATTTTTTTTTAAGAAAAGGAGACCTTTTAAAAATGAATATTCTCACCTGCCAGTGCTACAATCATTATTTATTCATTCTCTCTGTATATCTAATTCGCATTGATATAAACTGTTTTCCTTCCTTAAACCTCTATCTATTGTTCCCTTAATATTACAAGCCCTAGATTTTTTTCTCTTAAGACATTGCCATGTTTTAAGGACTTTGGGAACACATTCGAAAACCACCCATCCCCGAAATCATCAGCCTCACTGCCGCACATGCCATTCAAATATTTCATGTTGCTATGAGTATTCTGACTAATTCCAGTAAAGCCAGTTGACTAATTAACCTTCTGATAATCCTGGACAGTGCTAGCTTTGCACTTTTCACACTGTCTTCATGAGACAGATTTGTGTTAGTGCTCAGATAGCCTTTCTCTAGGACTGTCTCCAACACTGTACCTTTCCAACACTTACTGATTTGACCACTTAAATATGTTTCTATATAAAATAAAAACTCAAGTTTTCATTAATGTCATCTTTTTAATATATCAATAGTCGGATATAAAGACCAAAAATCCAGTCAGAGCACATTTTAAGGAGCCAGCCTGGTTCCCTGTTTACTTTGCTCCTACAAATAGGCTGTGACCCTTATGCACCTGTTCAGTGCAGGCTCTGCCAAGAGATATATCATTTCTGATTGACCTAAGAGCATACAGCAAAACAAAGCCTCAGCTTGCCTTTTTTTCTTAGGTATTTTTTTCCATGCTTTCATATGTTAAGTAGATTAAGGTTTACACCCAAGATCCGCAGAGCAACTACACTTTAGTATTTTAAAGGTGCCAAAAAAAACCTCACATATGTGTGTCGTAATGGAGAAATTTTAAGGAAAATATTTCAAAATACCTCAGTCCAGTCCATGTGAAATGTTTTTTTCTGGTGACGTCAATGTATTTTTTTCTTATCCCTATAAAATTGGGAACACGTGAATTGACACGTGAATGTGAATTGGCATTTGCAACTCTTTTTAACTGCCGTAATGTGACTCATTTTGTGTTTGTGCACACTTGGCGAATAAAAGCTCGCTCTGATTCTGATGTATGGATGAAACAAGATATGCAATAAAGAAAAAACAAACAAACAAAAAAACAATGTATGATACATCTTGATGTTATCCATTAGGAACTGACTGGATTAAAAAAAACTGGGCATTCTGCACCACTAGAGAGCCAGACCAAATGTAAGTTTGCTAAAACAATGCCCAAGTAACTATTTGGCTATTGGTTAACATCATCTAAGTGAAAAAGGCAGAGCCATTTCAGAGGAAGTGCAAGCTACACTTTGATTGATGTTTACAAAGCCAAACA